GATGGGGGTGGTGGGGGTGGTGGGGGTGGTGGGGGTGGTGGGGGTGGTGGGGGTGGTGGGGTGGTGGGGTGGTGGGGGTGGTGGGGTGGTGGGGGTGGTGGGGGTGGTGGGGGTGGTGGGGTGGTGGGGGTGGTGGGGGTGGTGGGGGTGGTGGGGGTGGTGGGGGTGGTGGGGGTGGTGGGGGTGATGGGGGTGGTGGGGGGTGGTGTGGTGGGGGTGGTGGGGGTGATGGGGGTGGTGGGGGTGGTGGGGGTGATGGGGGTGATGGGGTGGTGGGGGTGGTGGGGGTGGTGGGGGTGGTGGGGGTGGTGGGGGTGGTGGGGGTGGTGGGGTGGTGGGGTGGTGGGGGTGGTGGGGGTGGTGGGGGGTGGTGTGTGGGGTGGTGGGGGTGATGGGGGTGGTGGGGGTGGTGGGGGTGGTGGGGGTGGTGGGGGTGGTGGGGGTGGTGGGGGTGGTGGGGGTGGTGGGGGTGGTGGGGGTGGTGGGGGTGGTGGGGGTGGTGGGGGTGGTGGGGGTGGTGGGGGTGGTGGGGGTGGTGGGGGTGGTGGGGGTGGTGGGGGTGGTGGGGGTGGTGGGGGTGGTGGGGGTGGTGGGGGTGGTGGGGGTGGTGGGTGACCTCGTAGAGCAGCATGTAGCCCATCCACTCGGACACCAGCACATCCGCCCTCTCCTCCAACTCCACCTCCTGGTGGTGGCGCTCTCACACACACGCACACAGGCGCACAGGCAGGCACACACAGGCAAACGCACAGGCAGAGCAACAATTGCACAGCAGTCAAGCAGACAGAGAAGGACGGATGGATGGAGAGACAGGGAGACAGAAACAAGCACCTTTGAGAACACAGATATTGCGATTGTTGCGACAGCTCATTGTGACAAGCACATCTCAAGCAAGCAAAAGCAAGCAAGATTCCCATGCAAGCACTCTCTCTCAACCCCTTGACTGACACCACCATGTGCTGTCTCAACCCCTCATACCATACCAAGCATCACCCGCACCCCGAACTACCCGTACCCCGCATCACCGGAAAACAACTACATTCCGCCCCACGTGTCACCTGCCCACGTACCACCTTCCCTCCCCTGCACTGCCTCTCACCTCGACTCTCTTGTGCAAGACCGTGATGACGTCAGCCAGCCCATTGGCCTGCACCACCTGCTGTGCCTGGTGGGGTTGGGGGAGGCAAAGGGGGCGAGAGGGGTGGAGCCGGCAGTGCAAGGGGAAGGCATGGGCAGTGCGAGAGGGAAAGGGAGGCAGTGCGAGAGGGTTTGGATGGGAGGACGTGCGAGGGAGGGACGGGGAGGGGAGAGTGATGCAGGGTGGTAGAGAGAGTGAGCAAGAATGAGTGAGGGAGAGGGAGAAGATAAAAGATGAAGTTTACTTATGGAGGCATGTGAGTGTCTATGGAGGGAACGGGTGGAGGGGGGGGGGTCGAGGGCATCGGAAGGGCATGGGAGGGCATGCGACGGACGTGGGAACGACGTGGGAAGGACGTGTGGCAGGGTGATAAGGCGGGCAGGCAGGGCAGGGTGATAAGGCGAGGCAGAGGAGAGGAGGAACGCACATGAATGGCAATGTCACTGGCATCAATGGCGTACACCTGAGAGGAGCGGACGACACCACGGCAACGGGGAGGCGAAGGACGGGTGGGAGGGAGGAAAGAGGGGTCGGCTCGTGTGAGAGGAGGCGAGGGAGTGGATTGGAAAGCACCCCACGTCCACCACCACTTTTCCGCGGATCCGATCCGCGTGCCGCATCAGCGCGTCCCGATACGCGCACGTGCGCACCTCGTCCTGCGCGAACGGCGCGGGATGGCGGAAGGGGGAAAGAGAGCAGGGTTGGGGTTCAGGGGTGGGGAAAGAGAAGGCGGGAAGATGAAGGGAGTAGGAGGAGGAGGGGCCAAGGAGGAGTGAAATGTGGGGGCATTTGAGAAAGGGCGGAAATAGTTTTTCGGAATCTACCTCACATCCAGGAGCGTCTTGGCTATAATTGACAATGATACAGGAGACGAGGGAGGGTAGCCAAAGCCACAGAACTGGGGTGCAGGGTTTGGGGGTTAGTGGGACGGGTTTAGCTACGTGCTACGGACATTTGTCGCTTCTGATCTGCAATCTCACACAGTAATTCTAAAGAACCCAGAATCTCGAACGAGGAAACATCGTAAGTCCAAATCAAGGAGGCGAAATCCGCACTTCCAGCAAGAAATGAAGGATTAGCGCCATATGCGGAACAGGGGTCGATTGTTTGAGACCCACCTGGATCATCTCCTGGTGAATTCCTAAGTTCGCGTAGCTATCAAAGTACAGCTTCTCCGTATCCGCCGCTAGCGAGCTCCCAGGCGCTACGTTCCCGCTACTGTCCTCCCCCGCGTGGGAGAATATGGCGGCGCGGGACGCATCCCGGCCTCGTCCTCGTCCTCTGCTCGCTGAATTAAGCGCACGAAACGTAGCCATGGATGCACTGATCGGCCGGATGTTTCCGAGTCCGAGGGCGAATTGAAAATGGTTCGTCGTCAGGCAAGTAGGGAGGAGTGGGGTCTTATAGGTGTGCTACAGTATGGCGCGACGACATGGCACAAATCCAAGAGGACCTTCCACCCAAAATCCATGAAAATATTCTATATTTGAACATGATGTTACGGGTGCAATCGATCTAGGTAGCGAGAATTGCACTAAGGTGTCAAACGAGTACAAAATGTGAGCGAAGGCATGAGCGAACATTTATACGCGAAACATGAAAACGGTAACGCGGTGCGTGCGAGCTAGCTAGTGCTATGCTGGCAGCGAGGCTCGGGCTAGTCCCGAAGCGTAGGCCGACACGGCCGGGCCAGCAGTGCGAGGTTTGGCAAAACAGTGCGCGCGAAGTTGGCGAAGCCCCGTTAGTAGTAACGGGCGAACAACGGCTGTTGCTGTACGCGATGTAGTCGGACTCCGTAAGGAATGCCGAGAAAATTCCTTACACTACCCCCCCCCTCAAGAAGCCCCCTCCGCTACGCGAGCGAGTACGTGTATATCGCGGAATCCCCGGCTCCTTAGGTACACTTGCAGGGCAGGGTGGTTTTCGATGTTGGCCAGGGGCACCCAGCTATCTTCAGTTGGCGTGCGGTCCTTCCAGCGAAAGAGGAATTCAATCCTCCTGATTCCCGTGGGGTGGCGAATCCGATGGCTCAGGGTTTTTTCGGGCTCGATGATCGGGTTGATGCAGGGCGAGTCTTGGAATGCGGGCGGTGACGAGGCAGTTGGCTGGTGGTTGGGATGTACGGGCGAAGTAGGCTGACGTGGAACGATGGGCTGATGTACCAGTCGGTCGGTAACAGTAAGTGCGCGGTTACTGGCGTGATCATGTGGCTGATTTGGAATGGGCCACAGTAGCGCGGTCGAAGTTTCGGTACGTCGGGTAGTCGCAGATTGTGCGTGTCGAGCAGTACGTAATCCCCTGACTGGTACGTGACTGGGCGGCGGTGGCGGTCAGCATTGCGCTTAGCGATGACGTTTGCCTTTTTAATTGCTTCTGCGGCTCTGGTGCGGGCAGCTTGCAGAATTTCGGCGAATTGCTGTGCACGTGGTGTTGGGTTGTCCGGACTCGACGTCATGGGCACTGTAGGGTTTTGCCCGTAGTTCAGGTAGAAAGGGGACTGCTGCGTCGTCGCTGACGTGGCGTTGTTGTACGCGAACTCGATCAGCGGCAGCTGCTGCTCCCAAGTGGTCGGGTCGTCGCACGTGGCACGAATCAACTGCTCCATCGTCTGATTCGTCCGTTCCGTTTGACCGTCGGTCTCGGGGTGGTACGACGAGCTGTACTGTAGCCGTGTCCCGAACTGCTCCCAGAGGTTCTTCCAGAAATTGCTGGTGAAATTCGTGTCCCTGTCGCTGATAATCGCTGCTGGTATCCCGTGCAGGCGAACAACGGCTGCGATGAACAGTCGAGCGGTCTCCTCGGCTGAGATCGACTTTTTGCACGCAGCGAAGTGTGCCATCTTCGTCAACCTGTCAACGACGACCATCACCGCGTCGTTACCCCCAAGGTTCGAAGGTAAACCCGTGATGAAGTCCATGGTAACCTGCTGCCAGGCGCGCTCGGGCGATAGTATCAGCTGCAGTTGACCCGCCTTCCGCTTCCTCGAGCTCTTCATCACCTGACACGTGGGACACGAGCCCACGTGCTGCTGTACGTCGGTCAACAGCTCCGGCCAGTAGTAATACTGCTGCAGTTGCTGTCGCATTTTTTCTACCCTGAAATGTCCCGAGGTAATCCCGTCGTGTGCCTCCTGCAGTAACAGCTCCCTCAGTAGTGAGTACGCGGGTGACCAGATGCGGTTGGTGCCTGTCTTTACGTAATACACGCCTTTGGCCTTTGCCAGTTGCTGTGAATTTCCGGTCGTGAAAAATGGGTCGAGACTGTATCCGTGGGTGAATAGGCCTGTTAACAGTGGATTGGTTTGGGCGAGTAGGATGGCGTGGAGTTGGGCGGTGGGGCGTGTGAGTGCGTCGGCGATGTTGGATGCACCTTTTTTGTACGTGACCGTGTAGTGGAAGTTGGACTCTTGATAGTCCAACCAGCGGATCTGTCGTGGGTTGAGATTCGGTTGGGCGTGAAGGTACTGTAGGGATCGGTGGTCTGTCCGTACTGTCACGTCGGCGCCAGTCAGGTAACACCGCCAAACCTTGAACGCGTGCACGATCGCCAACATCTCGCGGTCGTGTATCGGGTAGTTGCGTTCGGGCGGGTGCAGCTTGCGGGACTCGTACGCGATTGGGTGGAGGCCGTTCCCGAAATCCTGCAACAGTACTGCTCCCACAGCGATGTCACTTGCGTCGGTGACGAGCTCGAACGGACGATGCGGATCTGCGATGTGGAGCACGGGCGGTGAGCATAAAATGTTTTTGAGGGCCGAGAAGGCAGCTTGCCCTTTCTCCCCCCACGTGTACTCAACCCCCTTCCTCAGCAGGTCGGTCAGCGGGGCAGTCAGCTTCGCCATGTTGGGGACGAACCGGCGCACGTAGTTGACGAACCCCAAAAAACTCTGCAACTCGGTCAAGTTGGTCGGCGCGTGCCAGGCTTGAATCGTCGCGATTTTCTTTGGGTCTATTTTCACTCCTGCAGCTGAAATAACGTGTCCCAAAAACTCCAGTCGGTCTTGTAAAAACTTACACTTAGACACTTTTGTCAGTAGGCGGTTCTCACTCAGTACCTTAAACCTGCTTCGATGTCCTGTAAGTGCTGTGCTCTGTCAGGGCTGTAGATCAGTATGTCGTCCAGGTATACGATGACACACTTATCTAAAAGCGGGCGGAAAGCTTCGTTCATGGTCATTTGAAAGGTGGCGGGGGCGTTGGTCAGTCCGAAGGGCATGACGGTGTATTCGAAGGATCCGTAGCATGTGCGAAATGCGGTCTTAGGGCAGTCGGGCGGATTGACGCGAATCTGGTGGTAACCCCCTCGGAGGTCGATTTTCGAGAAAACCCGGGCTGTGCGCAGTTGGTCGATCAGTTCGTCGGCCCGCGGGATGGGGTAACAGGATTTGATGGTAACCCTGTTCAGTGCTCTGTAATCTATGCACATGCGAAATCCCCCGTCTTTTTTCGGTGTGAACAGTATCGGTGCTGCGAAGGATGACGAACTAGGGCGAATGAATTCCTTCTCGAGCAGGTAATCCAGCTGCTTCCTCAGTTCGTCCAGTTCGGGTTGGGTCAGTCGAAATTGTCGCTGTACTGTCCGCTGTGCCCCCGGTTCTAACTCTATCCTGTGGTCGTGCGGTCGCTGAGGTGGCAGTCCCGTTGGCAGGTCATCCGGAAATATCTCGCTATACTGTTTCAGGAGTGCTGCCAAGTCGTCGGGTACGTCGGCAAGCAGTTTCTGTAAATCCCCTCCTTGGTCTGCTGCTTTGGCTTCCCGAATGTCAACCGCATACAAGTCAGCTCCTGCCGCTATGGCGCGCTTCATTGTGATCGCGTTGACATGCACCGACGAAGACTCAGGCGAGCCCCAGCGAGGTAAGGCGATATTGTTACCGTTCGCTCGCACGGTGCAGTCACCCGTTGTCCAGTCTATTCGCGGATTGTGTCGTCGCAGCCAATCACGACCGAGTGAAATGTCGGTTCCGTCGGGGGTTGTCGCGAGCATTTCCTGACTAAGTGTGAAGTTACCTCCGCATCGAATCCGAACCCGGTCTACGCGTTCCCGTATCGCCAGTGGCGTGCCGTCAACCAGTCTTGCGTCGATCTCAGGTAAGCATCTGTCCAGTGGCAGTCTCAGTTTTTGTGATGTGGCAGTGTTCATCAGGCTGTGGCTGGCTCCCCTGTCTACAAATATTTTAACTAAGTCCGTCCCGATTTTTCCACTAAGCAGTATGGGGCTGTCTACCTAGTACCCTCCTTATTCGGCCGGGTATGGTTGATTGCATGAACCGGCACAATCACTCGGTGAGGGTCGGTTGGGTCGGGCGAGCGGCGTGACCTGTTAGTAGAGGGCCCGTCTGCTACTGACTTCCAGCGTTTCCCTGCTGCTTGGTCTGTTTCTGCTGCTCGGCTTCCCCCTTTCCCTTAGCGTTTTCCGGGCATTCGCTCTTGCGATGTCTCGGCCGATTGCACGCAAAGCAGCGCCCTTTGAACGGTGCGGCAGCGGCATTTGCGGCGACGGCACGTATCGTAGCGCCCTCGTTCGTCCCACGAGACCGATGTCCCCAATGGCTGCTTCCGTAGGACCTCGGTCTCGGTCGGCGGAAGAAGTCGAGTTTCTCCGCCATAGCGAGAATTTCTTGAAAGTCGGTGACGCCGCGAAGCTGGATTTCCTGAGCGATGTCCTGCTTCAGGCCGCCGATGTAGCGATCGATGCGCTCGCTCTCGTGCATATATCCCACCTGCTCGCATAGCGCCAGAAATCCGCTCGTGTAGTCTTGGACGGAACCGAGTTGGCGCCAAGTGCGGAGCTTCTGTCGCGCCGCGATCAAAGCCGCGATTGGCTCGAAACAAGCGCGCAGACCTGCGCACCACGCGTCCCACGTGCGATACTGGGGCACCTCCACGAAGTACGACGGCACCCAGGGTACGGTTTGTCCTTCCCGTGTCGGTAGAGTCGCGTAGTCCATCGGCTTCGTGACGATGACACGCCACCAATCCATGGCGGGTCCTCGCAGCAGCGACACGGCGTAGCGAATTTTCGCCGTATCCTCCGAGACGTAGTTGGCGTCGAAAAACACGTTCATCGTGAACAACCACGCCTGAACGGTAGGACCACCCCTTCGACTGGGATCGAAGCATGGCGGACGCTGCGGCTTCAGCGGCATCGGTGACGGCAGTGCCGAATCGTCGGTTGGTGCCGAAATTGTGACGCGTGGCTGGCTTCGGGCCGCATTCGTCGCTTCGGGGTGTGTCGTGCCGTGGTCGTCGTCTCCGTCGGGGCGGACGACGCCATCACTGGCCGCGCTCGCGGGTTGCCCCACACTTCCGTGTTGTGATGCTTGTGGTGCGGGCTGTTCCGGAGTGCCAGGTGCTTGAGATTGCGCTTGTTGTGCTCGTGTGAGATCATTTTGCAGGGACGAGCGTTCTGCCGTCAACGTCGCGATTTCTTCGGCGCTCTCGCGGATTCGTCGCAGCAGATCGTTCAAGTGCTCCTGCGTGAGAGTCGTGACGTCGATATGCTCAGCCATTTCGAATGGCGTCGGCTCGTCTTAGTCTAGGCGCAGTCGTGGCTGCACGCGTTTACGAGAGAACGCGAGGACAGCGGCTCCTATGTGCTAAGGTGCGTGAGTCCCTTCGAGTGAAAAATCAAAAGTTGATTTCCTGGGGTGCGGAGATGCGCGGCCCGAAAAGGAGAGAGGCTCTGAATACCAAGTGTTACAGGTGCAATGGATCGAGGTAGCAAGAATTGCACTAAGGTGTCAAACGAGTACAAAATGTGAGCGAAGGCATGAGCAAACATTTATACGCGAAACATGCAAACGGTAACGCGGTGCGTGCGAGCTAGCTAGTGCTATGCTGGCAGCGAGGCTCGGGCTAGTCCCGAAGCGTAGGCCGACACGGCCGGGCCAGCAGTGCGAGGTTTGGCAAAACAGTGCGCGCGAAGTTGGCGAATCCCCGTTAGCAGTAACGGGCGAACAACGGCTGTTGCTGTACGCGATGTAGTCGGACTCCGTAAGGAATGCCGAGAAAAATCCTTACACATGAGCATACCCCACGTTCTCAGATTCCATTTACTTAATAAATATACGGAAACAGTTAACTGTAACATCATATACCTTGATACAATTTACCTATATATATGTCTTTCTCAATATGTACATAAGCTATGATTGAAGTTTAGCCAAGGGCTTAATCAGCCTCGTACAGAAGATGGTAAACCTGGTGTGATTAGTGTGGAAGCTTTATAAGCTTTAACGTGCTTGCCTCACCTATATCGGGGTTGCAGCAGCTGAAATTGCTGTACTCGTGCTGAGCTGGTGTCACACTGTATGGAGTGCCATGTGTTGTCGCCTCTCATCACGGGTTGGTCAGCCGCTTGTACCCATGATTCGTCAAGCCAATCACAGTCAATCGGCAACCACGAAAGATTCAATCCACGTCGTTCCTGACGTCTCCTTGGTTGTCGTCAAACACCAGCTCACCCAAAAGCGTTCATCCATTCCACGATATGCGAATAGCCGCCATCGTGGACTAGACGGCCAAGAGATTCACAATCGTTAGGTTTCACCAGCTTAGCGATCGATCGGACGGCGCAAATGGTTCGCACAGAAGGTCATCGACCGTCCTCGTCTATCTGCATTCTCGTACTCGCCAGATTCGTGCGCGGGAACCATCGCCAAGCCTCACGTGGAAGGGCGTGCGACATGCGAACACAATGGATGGTGGATGGCGGTTCCGATCAGGATAAGGCAGTAGTGACGGATGGCTTGGCGGCGGTGGTGGTGGGCTGCTGGTTGAGTTGCGAAGTCAAGGCCCCTTTTGGCTGGGTTGGCTTGGGAGGACCTTGGGGTTTTCGGCAACACTCCTCCCTCTCAAATCAGTTCAGCTCACTTATTGGGAACTCCCACTTGCTCTGCTGATATCTTGGAACGAAGTCGGTTGACTGATCCTTTCTGCCTTGCATTTGAACGCACACGCGCGAAACGCGTGTTACTTAGCTACTCATAGAAGAACTCGTGTTTATTAGCTGCTCGCAGAAGCGTTTTTCCACCGAGTTGTCCTTGTTGCCTGATACAGCTAGTGTCACCGTTCATCCGCTGGCACATTGGGATGGCAACTAAGTCGAGCCGTCCGTCATGGATGCGAGTGATTCTGATTGCAGTAGACGGTAGCGAGGCAAGCAAAAAAGCCATGAGTTATTCGATAGATAATATCTTTGATCCGAAAACGGACTACGTCATCATCATGTTCGTCAGGCCGAAGTTTGACGGTAATTCTTTCTGTTTTGGTGCCTGATTGTTAGCGGAGAAAGCCCTGTGTTGTCTATCGACGTTAAAATGTGTTTCCGCTCTTCGCTTCAAAAGAATCACTTTTTCTAGCTTGGTGTTTTGTGCATGGCATAAATCCCCGTGTTCAACCTTTAGTGGCAACGCTAATCTCACAGTCTGTGAAGTGATTACGTGTGTCTCTACCCTATCTGTAATAAGCTTGTTATCTCTTGACTGTAACATCAATGCTCCTGTCAGCTGACTTCCGGCCGCCTCCTTCTCCCCTATTTTTTTTTGTCCATTTCCAGCTTCCAGCGCCGAATTTCAACGATCGGAGTCGGGTATTGCTGCCAAGGCAGGGGATTTGCTGGATGAGGCGTCGGCGGAGGTGAAGGCGGCTCACCCGGGCATTCAAGTGGAGACGATGCTGGGCGAGGGAGACCCGCGAGACGTGCTGTGCAACCGCGCGACTGAGGACTTTGTGGACTTCATCATCGTCGGAAGTCAGGGCAAGACCGCTCTCACGGTGAGACAACCACGCTTGCTGAGCTCTTCGTTTTTGTGCGGATGTGTGTAAGTGTGAGTTCCAGTTCACCGCATGTGGTTTCTCGCGTTTTAGACGCATGATACGGTTTTGCTTGTCTGCGTCAGGACTTGGAAAGGTATGCAATGTTTCTCGAATCAAGGCAAGTCCACGAAGAGGTGCTTGTGTAAGACCACAACGTATGAAGCGGATATTTAAGATCATGGATCCAACTTTATAAAATCCAACTATTCATGCACCTGGCCCTCAACCCGTTTGCCCAAAATCTTTTGTTTCTCCCCTTCCCCTGCTTCATCATCCCTCTTACTCGCGCCTGGACGTATATTTTACACCTGACCCTCAAACCCCTTTGTTCAAATGCTTTACTTTCTCCCCTTTCCATTCTTTACTCCCTCGTACTCCACACCTTCCCTCCTGTCGTTTCCCTCTGTCCCCCGCTTCCTCCATACGTCCCTTAGCCATTCGCTCTATTTTTGTTCTAAAAAAAATCCACAGAATTTAGAATTATATGGAGAGTGGAAAATCTAATGTCATGGTGGGTTGCTGCCACTTTTCTCCCATGTGTGGCACTGAAAATTTTGTGCTGCCATTTTTCTCCCATGTGTGGCCTCTTCCAGAAAGCAATGATGGGGAGTGTGTCCCAGCACCTGCTGCACAATGCACCATGCCCTGTGCTAGTCTACCCGTCTTCTGGCACAGATGCTGTCAAGCGCAGCACCTCTGCATGGGGTGGTGCTCTGAAAGTGTTTAAGGGCGTTGCGTCCTCCGTTTCTTCTGTTACCTCATCAGTTGCCTCTGTGAGCCTCGGTTCTGGTTCTTCCAAGTAATGTGTTCTGCCACACTGGAAGCTAGTTTCTATTCATGTTCTTATTAAATGGAGAATGGTTGGATCAGGGTTAGAGGTTAGACACTGCTTTAGATGCTTAGATGTTTACCTAATATTGTATTCTGTGTTGGCTTCACATTATCATATGAGCATATGTTATAGTGGTTAGTTGAATCTGGCTAACTGAAGTTATGATATACATGTAGATATTACTTTACTCGTCAGATACACAGCGAAAGATGGCAGAGGGTCCAGCTTCCCGCCCGACGCCAGGAAAATTAGCGCGAAACGAAAATCCAGCAAAAACCATCGTCGAGTTCCTGGAATTCCTGGACTCTGCGGCAGACCAATTCCCGAAGCGCCATTGCACCAATTTCAGGGTTCCTTGGGGATAGGCTCCTCAACACTTGCAACTGCAGGAAACATCCTGCTCTCTCGTCCGACAGTAGTAGAATTCTTCCCATAACTGTGCAAGCACTCTCGCTCATTTTAGGTCCGTCTACCGTTTCCGCTGAGTTTAGCTTTCACCCTCTGCTGAGAAGTAGCTAATTTGGGGCGGACCAACGGGTGTTATCCTTTCCGGCATAGTTGTCCTCTCGAGTTTCCTTACGTTGAGACACGAACCAACATGACTCAACCATTAGACATGAATTCTGAAAATGGAATCGACGGGCACCACGACGTTTCCAGGACAGTTCTTCACGAGCCTCATGTCTCGGATCACGCTGCACCGCTGGACGACCGTGCAAGAAGGGTCGCAAGCAACAGCGAGATTCCAAACCCGGACACGTTTATCAAGCCAATGCGCGTCCCGGTCGTAGCGAGTCCACCAATCTCCCACCCCTCACAACACGAGGGCACGAAGCAAGAGAACGCGGGCGAGTCAACGCCGTCTGGTGCTCGCAGGAGTCTGGTTGGCAGCGCCGCTCGCACCAAAACGGGTCCGGTCGCGTCCCCGCAGCCGGCGTGGTTCCCGCGAGTGAAACTCGAGCCGTACCTTACGCGGAGGCTGCGAGAGCTGCAGGTGCGACCCTCCATCACAATCGCCGCATTCCTTGCTGCTGATTTACTTTCAGAAAAATGGTCTTTTTGTTCAATACAAGTTCATTCCGCCGTCCTTCTGCGTCTTATTATCCTCCATAGCGGCTCTCCGCATGCAGAATATGACAGTTTTCGCTTGTTTGTTGCGTCGCCAACTCTTCAGCAATCGACTTTTTCGACTGACGCATTCTGCATTCCCCGTGTGATGATCTGGTCATCGCAGGAGGAGGTAGGACCGCAGCCGCCGTTGGAGCAGCTGCTGATTCCGAGCAAGCTGGGTCGTTTGGAGCGGGAGAAGCAGGAGGCCGCCATGGCTGCTAAGCGAGCCTCGCAGCTCCGCCAGGTGGCTCTCGTGGAAGCTTCGTGGTGTCGCATACTCGACGCAGCAGGGTAAACAGCCTTGCCTGTTCGCTCTTTTGCCGTTTGTGACTCAACTCCCTCACGAGCACACACGTGTTCAACTTGAAACGTGTCAGTGAGTATCGTGCTTGCCGTTCGTGCTTCATAATCCGATACTAACATTGGCAATTTCATCTGTTTCCTTCAAATCATTCCCCGCGGGGACCCGACGGCAGTATCCCGTCTACCGGTGCTCTCGAGGTGGCGCAGCAAGCGGAGGAGGAGGCACACGTGGCAGTAGTCGAGGCCGCCAAGCTCGGCGTTATTCTCGACCATGCCGTCACCAGCAGGAGCAGAAACGGCAGTCCCCGCGCCGCCGCCGCCGCAGCCGCCGCTGCTGGCTCGGCCTTCTCTGCCGCCGCTGCCGCAGCAGCAGCAGCCGCCGCCAGCGCCGCGGACGACGAGCTGATGGCGGCATCGGCGCTTGCCGGCGCCTTGAGCTCTCGCGACGTCATACTGACGTCAGTGTCGACGGCGCAGGCTGTGGAGAAGGATGTGGTGTTGGCGGTAATGAAAGCGCTGTCCCGTGTGGGGAATATCCGCGCGGCGGACGGCATCGTTGACTTCGTTGACTGGGAGGTGAAGGAGGGCGAGGAGCGGGAAGGGGAAGAGGAGGCACTGGGTCGGGAATGCGGTGTTGTGGAGGTTGAGAAAGGGGACGGTGGAGGAGGAACGGGGGAAGATGGGAATGAGGCAGACGAGGAGAAGGGTGTGGGAACTGGAGAAGCAGGAGAATGGGACGGCGCAGAGGGGGAAACAGGAGAGCTGGAAGTGGAGAAAGAGGAGGGGGTGTCTGACGGGAATGAGTCCCAGGGGGATGCGATTAGCAAGGAAGAAGCGACGGAGGCTAATCTGGAAGTAGGAAACTCCGTTGCGGCAGCATCAGCTGCGACTGCAGAGGGGACAGCAGCGGAGGAGCCGACGGCCGAAGCGCGAGCGGAAGAAGGGGGGATGGGCGAAGGGTCGGTGACAGCGGGAGCGGGAATGCAGGAGGAGGAGAAGGAGGTTGGGAAGACGGGGAATGGGGAGGAGGAGGAGAAGGATGGGAAGGAGGAGGAGAAGGATGGGAAGGAGGAGGGGAAGACGGGGAAGGAGGAGGAGGAGATGAACGTCCCCGCAGTGATCGCTGAGCGCGTGCTTGCGCTCAACCGCAACCACCGCACGGCGCTAGCCGCCATCGTGGCCTCGCGCGGAATGGTGAACGGGCTGCTGCAGGGGCTGCGGAACGGTCGCCGCCAGTCGTTCTCCGCCTCCGCCTCCCGCCGCCAGTCGCTCGCCGCGCTGTCTCAGATTGGCGGAACGGGCGACGCGGGGCCGGCGCTAGCGAAGGTTGGAGAGAGTAAGGGCGTGGCGGGCGCAGGCGGAACGGGGGAGGCGGAGCAGGCGCAGAGTAAGGAGGGGGGAGGTGGCGGAGCAAGTGGGGGGGATGCGGGGACTAGTAGTGGCAGTGGTGACCTTGGGAGCATTTTGGTGAAGAAGCTATCGCGACTGGAGCGGGAGAAAGCTGCAGCAGTGGAGGAGAGGAAGAGAGAGGAGGAGGAGAGGAGGAAGGCCAAGACGGAGAAGAAGGGAGGGGAGAGTGTGAGCGGAGTGAACGTGGGGTGGGGAGCGGAGGGGCTGGGCAGCGGCATAAAGCACGTCTCGCGGATTGACAGGGAGCTGGCTGCCGCGCGGGAGGCGGAGAGAAAGGCGCAAGGACGAGGCGCAGGGGTTGCTGCTCCTGGTGCTGCTGGTGGCGCCGGTGGTGTTGCTGCTGCTGGTAGTAAAAATGGGGTCAGGGTGGGGAGGAGAGAGCGGGTGGAGGTGGGATCGGTCCCTTCTCTGGATTCGATGCTGGTGAAAGGCAAGAGTAGGCTGCAGCGGGAGAAGGAGCAGGCGGCGGAGGCTGCTAAACAGGCGTGGGGGACAACTGGAGGGAACGGTACAGGCACCGGTGCAGCGGGAGGGAAAGGGGCGGGGAGGAGGGAGAGGGTGGAGGTGGGGTCAGTCCCAGGGCTGGATAGCATGCTGGTGGTGCGGCATAAGAGCAAGCTGGAGCGAGAGATGGAGGAGGAGAGGAAGTGGTGGGGGGAAAGCCAGGTTGGCGGTAGTAGCAGTGTGGTAAGGGCAAATGGGGCGGGTGAGGGTGGTAGGGTGGATGGTGGGCCGAAGGGAGGGCGGAGGGAGAGGGTGGAGGAGGGGTCGGTGCCTGGGCTGGGAGAGATGCTGGTGAAGCATAAGAGCAGGCTGGAGCGGGAGAAGGAGGAGGCAGCAGCATGGGCGAGAGGCGCAGGAGGGTCTGGTGGTGGTACTGGCGCTGATAGTGGTGCTGGTGGTGCTAATGGTGCTGATGGTGTTGATGGTGGCGGTGATAGTGCTGGTGGCGGGAGCAAGAGAGCAGGGGGGGGGAGTGGAAACGCTGTGGTGGACGCGGGCTGGGGCGGGTGTGGCCTTGCAGATGTACTGAAGAAACCTGCAGTGAAGGGAGGGGCAGAGCAGGTCGGGGAGGGAGCAACGACTGATGCTGCTGCAGTTACTGGTGAAGGACATGGCGAAGGCGGGGTGGACGGGAATGAGAACGCGAAGGGGAATGCAGATGGCAGCAGCCGAGAGAGTGGTGGTGTGGGTGAAGGGGTGGAAAACAGGCACTCTGAGAAGCAGAAGCAGCAGCAGCAGCAACAGGGGTTGGGGCTGGGAGAGGGAGTGAAGAAGATGTCACGGCTGGAGAGGGAGCTGATGGAGGCAAGGGCGCTGAAGGAATGCGTGGGAGAGGCTGGGAATGGTGGGAAGGCAGGCAGTGGCAGGATGGTGGATGCGTGGGGTGGTGTGGGGTTGGGCGACACTTTGAAGAAGCATGTTTCGAAGATGGAGCGAGCCAAGGTATGAGTGGAGGGCAAGGGCTGGTGTGTAATGTGGAGAGCACGGTATGCATGATCTGGAGATCAAGGGATGAGCGATGTCGAGGCAAGGCACGGTATTAGCCTTCTTTACAGCTTGTGATGGTCTATTTTGTCAGATTTCAAGCACCCGGCGAAGGCACCTGATGACGAAGGAAATACATTTTTGCTCTCTTTTCGTATGTTTGTGTGATTGGATGCAGATGGATTGGGAGAAGGCAGAGGCAGCAGCACGCGAGAAGACAAAACTGTAGTTAATGACACAACTCTCATGACCAAGCGATAATGCGATTCACTTTGCTAGACTAGTGTCATCGGTGCATCTCATTTCTACGGATACCAATACCTTGCCCCTCTCACCCCCACACCCCTCCCCCTCCCCCTTCATACTTTCACATCCATAATCATGCTACAGTCTCATACTCCTATCCTACTGTTCCTCCATATGTATAACCTTTTTAGTTACGGTAGTTATTTTCAGTTGCGCTGCCTGGGCTGCTCCACATCCACATCCGCTTGCGGGCTACCTAATTTTGGAGTTTCAAACGGAGTCATTGCACAAACGAGTTTGAATGCAAACGTGGCACAATGCCTTGTTACTGTATGGTAATATGATTTAAGTCCGCAAATTTCAGGTCAGTGATCCACTGACATAATTACCATCATCTTACCATTTGAAGGTGTC